TAGTGGTATGACTAGTATAAATGGTACAATTAATTTTTGCTAATGTTTTTTATTCTTTTTCATGAGACAATTGATAGTATTTGTGGCATGGTCATACATTTTGATTATAGGGATATTATTCAGAAGAGGAAGATGCAATGGATTCGGAAAGACCTTAATATTTATTCTACTGTAATGAAAGCAACTTTGGAGGATGTCACTTATTCTCGGCTGATTGACTGAATACGTAGGAATATTACATGGATAATTCTTATATAGATAACTATGATACGTATGACAATGTTGACATTACACATATTGTACAAGCCGATGAGGTTGTAAATGTTGAATGAGAAGATGTATTGAATCAGACTGTAGATTAAGAATTTAGAACTAAGAAAGAAGTGAAAGATATAGTGGAGAAAATTTAAGAGTTGCATAGCCTAAGAATTCATGTTTTTCTCGGTTAGAGCATACCAGAAAAATGCATTCATGCTCTCTATTAACTACATCTACAGCTAAAAATAAATAAAAGACACACCACACTTGGTTGCAAGACTTCAACCTCAAAAGTTCTCGTAGACTTGATTCAAAGAATACTTTGTGTTTTGATTTCATCTGATACGATTTTGTACAACAGGTTCAACTAGCCCATGAAACTAATATTCATGATTTTTGCTCTAAATGTTACTGGATGGAGCAGTGGGCTGTTTATTCAGTATCTCATAATTTATTCAGTATTAACTGGATTGTTACAAAAAAATGATTTAAAACAAAATTTGTAAACATTTTTCTATACATAATCGGCCATAGAAATGTGGGAACCGAAATCCACCGCAACGTAAAATAGGAAAGTTTGATTTGCGAGGAACCGAGAATCTTGGGGAGAAAACGAAAAGCTAAGTGAAAAGAGATCGAAAAAGGAAACTAGGGCTAAAAGAGAACGAACTTTAAAAGAGAAGAAGAAAATTGCGTATTGTATTGATATTGCGAATGTTTCGAATAATCCGAATCCTCTTACAAGAGAGGATATCGATCCTTATTTATACTAAAACATCCTAAGTCCTAAACCACCTAACTTTCGATGTGGGATTAAGGTCTTTTCCTTTTTCCGCCGACTTTTCCATAAATCTTCGAGTAAGCTCCAGAACCTTCCGTAAGTCGGTGTCTTCCTCCCAGCTCGGCCCAAATATGTCCTTCATTCTTCGGTTTAGCGGTTTTCCTCGGTTTAGTTTAAGTTATCGCGATGTTTCGAGAAGTTTACGAAAACATTGGTATTTTCGCGGAAAGACTTGACGAAGAACGAAGTGAAATCATACGAAATTGAAGATGACAAGTAGCTCGGCATTTCTTGATGGCCAGCCATGCCGAGCTACTTGCTTCCCATCCAGCTGTGCGTTTAGCTCAGCATTTAGTCGAGGAGGAAGTCCTCCGACTGTCCGCGGAACGCGTTTAGCTCAGCATTTTGAGGTGCGGAGACCATGGAACATGCTTTACAAGTAGCTCGGCATTTGAAAGTGAGCAAGTAGCTCGACATTTTTGTTTGGGCAAAACGCCTAGCTACTTGTCATGCCTAGCTACTTGTAATTTGCTTCCCACGGCTGTTCGGTTCGGTACGCTTCAGCATGAACGGGACAGACCTTACAAGTAGCTCGGCATTTTTGGTTGGACAAAATGCCTAGCTACTTGTCATGCCTAGCTACTTGTAATCCGTCCATCTTCCGCTGTCCGGTTCGGTACGTTTCAGCACGAACAGGACAGTCTTTACAAGTAGCTCGGCATTTCAAGCTGTGCAAGTAGCTCGGCATTTTTGGTTGGACAAAATGCCTAGCTACTTGTCATGCCTAGCTACTTGTAATTTGTTCAAAGAATCGCGATTCCTCCGATTTTTCGGTTTATCGGAAAAATCGCTCAAAGAGTCGAAACTATTAGCTCGGCACGAAAGTAGACAACATGTAGCTCGGCATGAATGGTGATGGAAAATGCCGAGCTACTTGTCTCCTTGTGCCGAGCTACTTGTATTTTTCCCGGAAAATTGCAACTTTCGTCGGTTAATCGGAAGAATCTCCCGAAAGACGAAATGGTCGGCTTAGCATAAAGGGAATGTGCATGTAGCTCGGCATTTTTGGGCAAGCCAGATGCCGAGCTACTTGTCTTCGCTTTGGCCCTGCTAATAGTCTTTCGTTCAATAAATCGCGACTTTTTCGGTTTATCGGAAAAAGCCCTCCAGGAGGCGGAACGAGTAGCTCGGCATGGAAGGAGAGCAAGTAGCTCGGCATATTGTGGTGACAGTGCATGCCGAGCTACTTGTTCGTGCTCTCTCCTTCCTTGCCTCGCCAGTTGGTTCCTGCTCGAAGAATCGCGACTTTTATCGGTTTGTCGATAAAACCTTCCGAAAAACAGTTTTAACGATAAAAACAATTCAAGAGAATTATTTTTCCGAATTTCTTATTCAAATATGGAAACTTTTTCCGATATTCAAATATTTTAGTCGTTAATTCCGGAAATGTGGGTTTTGACCCCAACATTTAGCCCCCCAGCCCGTCAATATCGGGTATGATCTTGACGGGGTGACTAAGGAGTGTATAATGGGATTAAGGAGCTAAAATGCTTTGACCCCAACCTTTCGGGAACTTTCGACTCCATGACTTTGAACTTTGGATGATGTAGCGAGTTTTGCCGAACTGTCTTAGGAATGTGATTGATAGCGTCACGGGCTGCACATTGGATGTGGTGGAAGGGATGACCAGGCTGTCTGTTGGAAGCTTCTCGATTTTTGCTTGTGCTTGAGGACTGTCGGAGCTTAGGTGCTTCGTATGTGGAGTGTGGATCGACATGGTGATACGTTTTGATTGTTGCCTCGTTAAAAACCTTTTACTAAGAAAAACCCGATGGGAAAAAACGTAGTAAAGGAAAAGAGTGCAACGCGTATCGAATTTTCGGACTGTTACCTTGGAAAGGAGATTAAGTTCGTAAAGTTTTCCCGAAAAACTGTTCATGATAAATTTTTCGAAAGTTTTTCCCGAGAAAACTGTTAAGTTAAGTCTTTCAAAGGTTTTTTCCAAAAAATTGTTTAAGTTAAATTTTTCCGAAAATTTTCGAAGGGAGTGGCACCTAATGCCGAGCTACTTGTAGCATACCATGATGCCGAGCTACTTGTAGGTGGGCTTGGTGCCGAGCTACTTGTATAGCTCTTCCGAAAAACTGTTCAAGTTAAGTTTTTCGAAGGTTTTTCCGAAAAACTGTTTCAGTCAAGTTTTTCCGAAAATTTTTGAAGGGAGTGGCACCTAATGCCGAGCTACTTGTAGCATGGCATGATGCCGAGCTACTTGTATGCTGGCTGGTGCCGAGCTACTTGTTTAGCTCTTCCGAAAAACTGTTCAAGTTAAGTTTTTCGAAGGTTTTTCCGAAACACTGTTTAAGTCAAATTTTTCCGAAAATTTTCGAAGAGAGTTGCACCAAATGCCGAGCTACTTGTAGCATGGCATGATGCTGAGCTACTTGTAGGTGGGCTTGGTGCCGAGCTACTTGTAGGTGGGCTTGGTGCCGAGCTACTTGTAGGTGGGCTTGGTGCCGAGCTACTTGTATAGCTCTTCCGAAAAATTGTTCAAGTTAAGTTTTTCGAAGGTTTTTCCGAAAAACTGTTTAAGTTAAGTTTTTCCGAAAATTTTTGAAGGGAGTGGCACCTAATGCCGAGCTACTTGTAGCATGACATGATGCCGAGCTACTTGTATGCTGGCTGATGCCGAGCTACTTGTTTAGCTCTTCCGAAAAACTGTTCAAGTTAAGTTTTTCGAAGGTTTTTCCGAAAAACTGTTTAAGTTAAGTTTTTCCGAAAATTTTTGAAGGGAGTGGCACCTAATTCCGAGCTACTTGTAGCATGGCATGATGCCGAGCTACTTGTATGCTGGCTGACGCCGAGCTACTTGTTTAGCTCTTCCGAAAAACTGTTCAAGTTAAGTTTTTCGAAGGTTTTTCCGAAAAACTGTTTAAGTCAAGTTTTTCCGAAAATTTTCGAAGAGAGTTGCACCTAATGCCGAGCTACTTGTAGCATGGCATGATGCCGACCTACTTGTAGGTGGGCTTGGTGCCGAGCTACTTGTATAGCTCTTCCGAAAAACTGTTCAAGTTAAATTTTTCGAAGGTTTTTCCGAAAAACTGTTTAAGTTAAGTTTTTCCAAAAATTTTTGAAGGGAGTGGCACCTAATGCCGAGCTACTTGTAGCATGGCATGATGCCGAGCTACTTGTAGCATGGCATGATGCCGAGCTACTTGTATGCTGGCTGGTGCCGAGCTACTTGTTTAGCTCTTCCGAAAAACTGTTCAAGTTAAGTTTTTCGAAGGTTTTTCCGAAAAACTGTTTAAGTCAAGTTTTTCCGAAAATTTTCGAAGAGAGTTGCACCTAATGCCGAGCTACTTGTAGCATGGCATGATGCCGACCTACTTGTAGGTGGGCTTGGTGCCAAGCTACTTGTATAGCTCTTCCGAAAAACTGTTCAAGTTAAGTTTTTCGAAGGTTTTTCCGAAAAACTGTTTAAGTTAAGTTTTTCCGAAAATTTTTATACGAGACCAAGAGAAAGAAATCACGCCGAGCTACTTGTAGCGTGGCTCAATGCCGAGCTACTTGTAGCGCAACGTGGTGTTGAGTTGTCCGCGCGGATTTTTACCGAAAAACCGTTTGAGTTTAAGTTCTTCGAAGATTTTCCGCGGAACTTAAGAGGGAGTTGCGAATGCCGAGCTGCTTGCGTAAAGCTGGGCTATTCGTACTTCGTCAAGTGTTTCGACTTTTTATCGGGATGAACAGTAATTTTTACTGTTCATGTACTGTTCATGTACTGTTCACGGGACCCACTTTCGGTTTCTATAAAGAAGAGCTTTCACTCTTACCTCATTCCCACAAGTCTTTCAATTCCTAAGGTAAGAAACTCTCTCCCTTCTCTCTTCTTTCTCTCTCTAGATTAAACTTAAAGAACACCAAGAACACGAAGAACGCGAAGAATGTTTTAAGATTCAGATAAAGAATGACCTTTGATCCATGCTCGGAAGGATATAGCGTTCCTTGGGATGAGATGGGCTCCGTGCTCCTTGAGGGTAGGTCATCCGACGATGGTGAGAGTTCGTTTGGTTTCGGGTATACGAACTCCGTTCCAACATGGAATGCCTCCGGCGTCCGAGTTAAGCTTGAAGAGCATGATGGATCATACGTGATCCCGCATGTTGCTGAAGAGTTTGTCCTGAGGAGTTGTGTCAAGAAGGAAGCTGAGCGTTTGCTTGAGAAGAACATCCAAGACGATGATCCTCCAAGGCGATTTCGCGAAGGAAAATGCAGGAAAGACATAGAGTCTTCGGGGAAAAGTTTGTGTGGTGAAGCAAGTATGAAGAGGCTCTGATCTTTGTTTTGTTTTCCCGAAGGGGTTGAACTCGTGGTTCCTGGTCCGGAGGATCGTTATCATAACCCTCCTCCCGGTTGTTTTACTGTGTTCGAGACGTATTTCGATTCCTGTTTCCTGACCTTTCCGATCCCCTCACTCATACTGCAATTCCTTGCGATGTATGGTTTGGCGATGGGTCAGGTAGCCCCTAGAGGTTTAAGGACTTTGGTGGGAACTATCACCTTGTGCTTAGAACGCGGTATAGAGATCGGGACTTGGCACCTCATGACGCTCTTCGAGGTGAAAGCGTGCAAAGTTCCCTTGTCATACTATGTTTCGCCTAAACAAGGCAAGACGCTTTTCGTGGAGCATCCTAGTAAAGAAGAACCTTGGAAAGACTACTTCTTTTTCGTTAAGGTCAATCCGTTCTCGGTTGATCCTTGGTTCATAAGCGAGATGGTGACTGGATGGTCGAAAATTGGTAGCTAACTCTTGGTTGGCTGGGGTGTCGATATGATTTGCTTGTAATAAACTTGCGGAAGTTCTGATTAAGTTGTCGTGTTCTTGTTTTGCAGGTCGTCCTGCTGTTGACGCCATTCCTGCGAATCTCTACAAGGTCTGGATTGCGCTGATTGCTAAGGGAGAGATCCATTGGGATTCTTTTTCGTTTAAGAGAGCCTTTAAAGCTAGGTCCCGAGAGAAAGAACTTTGCCTTTTCGACTATTCGACTGATCCTCCGAAAAGGATGAGCAAAGAAAGATCAATCGTTGGCCAGATGCGAGAGCAAGAAAAGGCCTTCATCGAGGCGGGCAACGTTGCGCCTCAATGTGAAGAAGTTGAAGAGGGAGAGATCCCCACTGCTGTTGATGAGTGTCCATCGACTTTGGACAAGGGCAAAGGGATCGCCCTGAATGATGAGAAATCTCCAGTCAAGAAGAAGAAGAAGAGAAGGAGCAAGGCCCCAGAGTTCGAGTTCGTGGCGCCTGATTCTGTCAAGGATGGCAATGTTGCTGCTCCAGGCGAGCTACTTGGTGCTTTCCGTCCTCGAGGAGCTTCGACTGCTCCCGTTGGCGAGTTTCGGAAGAAGAAAGTTTTCGAGAAGGTTGCGCGCCAAGGTTTCGAGGTAAGCTCAAGTCATAATGCTGTAATCTTTTGATTCGTTTCAAGTTTCTGACTTTGCCTTGATACCTTTTGTAGTTCCTTGCCCAGCTGACTGGTATGGCCAGCGGATACGAGGCTGATTCTGCGCAATGGGAAAGTCGGATTGCGGAATCAAAAAAGATCGCTGATGAGAGCGCAGCTGAGGCAGCTCGATTGAAGGAGGAGTTTGAGAAGGCAAAGGTTGCCCATGCTGAGGAGCTGGACCGTGTGAAGGCCGAGCTCCTTAAAGAGAAGAAAGAATGGGCGAGGAGGCTACTCAAAGCCTCCCAGCAAGAGAAGACGCTCTTGGTGAAGAAGTATCGCCAAAGAGGTGATAGTGCGAGAGCTTTGGTTAGCCAGATTGAGGAAGCTCATGAGGAATTGATCCTGTCTGAGGTTGTGAAGGCTAACTTGGATCTGTATGACTTGATGCAATCTGGGGATCAGCCCGAGATCGCAAGTTACAAGGAGCTTTTGGATGATGGCAAGGTAAGGTATGCTGACACGAGGGTCAACTTCCAGCGTATGATGGAAACGCTCAAGGACTATCTGGTTGCTTCTCCACAAGCTCAGACGTTCAGCCCAGTTTTCGGAGCGGATTCGATGAGGAAAGCTGCCAGTGAAGTCGGCATTTCGAACATGTCGGGATCGATGGAGGGAGATCCAGGGCTTGAGGAGTTTATCTCCAGCCTAGCTGCCGAGGATCGCGACTGAGGCGATTTCTCACCTTGTAATTTGTTGGCTCTTGTCCGGCCGTTTCAGTTTCTAAGACTTTGATATGTATGCCCTTTGTGTGGGCCTTTATTTAGTCGGGTTTGTTCCTGACAGTTGTATTGACTCTTTTATGTTTCTATGCATCTTCAGAATTTTTAGCTGCTGGTTCGTATGCATATGTTAGACCAATGTTTGCTTGTTTGAAGTATGGATAGGATTTCGTTGGTTTGCTGTAGGAGAGTAGAGTAGTTCGAAGTTTCATACTTACTCTTGATTCCTAAGCGCTGTTTATGATTGTGATGAATTTAGCGTTGGTATTTCGTCAGCAGAGTCTTGTCATGCTTTTGTATGACGAAAATATGTTTGCGTATTGATACGTTGATGATGTTATGCCAGTGCTGCTCGGAAGCGTCTTGGCTGGGCTTACGATAGGTTAGTGTTTATGGAAACTAAGCTATGCGTGTGTCTGGTTTTAGGAAATGCGGGGATTCCGTCTTACCTCTCCGTTTTTCGACGTTTGAAACACTTTACAATCTCGTCTAGTGGTATTCTAGATTGTGTTTCCGAGATGTTGAAGACCAGTGTGCCTTGCTGACGGCGCTTACCGGGTTGATGGATTTGCAGTGAGGGTTAGGGCAGTGCGAGTCTTTACTAGCTGGCATGCCTGTCTCAAAGTCAAACCTAAGAACATCGTCCAGGATATACCTCTCGGATGTTAAGTTAGGATATACCTAACCCCATTTATATAGCGCGCTGTTAATATGCCCGTGCACAGGCGTCACTGAACCTTTGCCCATACAGAGCATCAGTTGAATCCTTAAAAGGACAATAAATCGTGCTTGTTGTGGCCAGCAACAAGCGAGTTTTGGAGTAGATGTTGGATATCGGAAACCTTGTAGACGTGTTTAAGGGAAACGTCAAGTTTGATATGCCTTAGTTATCGAGAACTGATCCAAAAGTTTTCCTTAGGCGATCGTTCTGGAAACTGTGAATTCGGAAATCCTTTATTGCTTGGAATTCGGAAATTTAATCTGAAACTTAGAATTTTTCTGAAAAACTCGGAACCTATCTAGACCTTACAGTCTTTTAAGTTCGGAATTATCGTAAAAACTCGAAGCTTACCCTAAATTCGGAACCCTTTGCATTTAGAATTCAGAATTTACTGATTCTTTAAGATCAAAAAGTCAAAGTTTTCGTTTTTTCGGATTCTCGAAACTGTCAATGATGGTGTGAATAGCGATGAGTATGCGAGTGGTGATGAGTTGCATACACTCCCACTCCCCCCTTTTTTGTTTTGGGGGGACAGCTGCACCGAAAGATCGGTTGCCTACGTACCTCTTTCGAGGATCAAGCCGTCTCGTAGTTCAGTTTGTTTCGGAAACGTTTTTTTTTTTTTTTTTTTTTTATTATTATTTTTTTTTGCGGAACTACTTTCGGGTTGTTCGATGTTTAAACCCGAAGTGGTGGCGCAAATTTTTGTTTTGAAGATAGGATGGAGACTAAGTCTCCATGTCCTGAGCTTGAGATTGCTCAGGTGCGTCCTTGGATGGCTTAGGATGGGTTTGGGAAGTTCTAGCTTCCTGAATTGGTTGTGTGGTTGCGGGAACTTCCTTTGGAGTCTCTTTCTCGGAAATTTCTTTCGGAGCTTCTTTTGCGAGACTTGGTTTTGTTTTCTTTCGTTTGGTCGGAGATTCCTCCGAAATGTGGAGTTTCCGGAATTTGTGTTCAGCTATGAAACAAACTCGGGATTCCTTCTGATTTCCCCAAACGGTTTTTATGCCTGATTTCGTTGGAAATTTCAGGCATAAATGGTATGTGGAGGGGATAGCGCGCATGGAGTTTATCCAGGGTATCCCCATGATAACGTTGTAGATAGCTGGATGGTCAGCTACAACAAAGTTCACGACCTTGGTCACTCCTCCTGCCTGGACAGGGAGTCGGATGTTCCCTAAGGTCATGGTAGTTTCACTCGTGAAACCTGTCAAAGGTTTTGGTATGGGTTCGATTTCGGAGAAGTCAATGTCCATTCTTTGGAGGATAACATCGACTGAACTCCCTGTGTCAATCAGGACTCTTGCGACATTGACATCGCTTATTACCAGCTGAACCACGAGTGGATCATTGTGAGGATGCTGGATTTCGGCCGCGTCTTCCTCCTCGAAGGTGATTTGGAAGTCATCGCAGGGCGCAGGTTGCGGCCAGCTTTTCGCAGTTTCTGCCTGCCTTTGATAGTCTTTGAGGGCAGAAATAGTGTCTGGGCAGTACTGAGATCCGCCCATAATCATGAAGACCTTCCTGCGGCTGTTCGCCCCAGTAGGTTCCTCATTTCTTCTTCCGCGCTTCGGAGCTTCCGGGGGAGGTCCTTCTGGAGTCTGCCCGGGTTGCTCGTCCGTGCTTTCTTCTTGCTGATCGGGTTCCTCGCGTGTTTCCATCACCAGGAACTTTGATATGTCTCCGAGCTCCCCAGCTAGGAGCCTCTCTGTTAGTCTGGATCCGAGAGTGCGCCAATTCAAGGT